AAAATCAACAAAAATCTTATTTTCTCCCATTGTTTTCATATTAAATTATGTTTCATAGCTAAATATTTGATATTAAATGAAAGCCCTGTTTCCCCTGAATAGAATGATATATATATTAAGGGTGGGTGCATTTAATATGAAAGAGGTGAATTACGGTTGGACAGACATGTAGCACAAATGCCAGGTTTTGTTTACATTTTGTTTCGTTCACATGTACATTTGGCTCCGTCCTTAAGGGGTTAAAATAAATCTCGTCAAGCTCTTCCGAAAAGATACAAATAATACAAGATATACAAGATTGGATAAGTGTGACGGACCACCTGGCACCCGACTCGGTACCTCTATTAAGCTTGCTTCCTGCTCTCCTCTGGGACACAGGTGTGATTCAGCCCCTAGCCACCGCAGCTTGGCTGGGGTCTCTCAGTCGCTTCCCACCCTGGAACAGGGTCCTGGATACAGCTTCAAGTGATTAAGCTCTCCTGCAGAGAGTATAGCTGATCTATCCAAATACTATCCCAGACTGAGTGAAGGGTGTAAAGGAACTGCTTTATTATGGCCAAGTTGCCTGCTTATATACACAGCAAGGGGTCTTCACACAATACTATGCAAGCCTCTCCCAAATAACTCTGCGCCTGGGAAATAATTGTGTTGAAGACCAGTAAGCTAATTATCTCCCAGGAAGAGAGAGGCAAACACAAAAATATAAAACATAAAAATACCCCAAAAGAGCATAAAAATATACAACAATACAAACCTTTACACAAATTGTTACTGGAGACTGATATCACAGCAATGCAAATGTTTTCATACATTCAAATGGTACACTTTTTAAAGAAAGGACACTTGGCTCAGAGGGCACTCCGAGAACTAACACCCTTTGAAAAGTATTGCAAGGGGCACATATTAAAAAAGAAGCTTATCTCTGTCATGTACACTCTCATTCTATCCATACAGCCCAAACACCCTCAAGCCTTCACTTCTGCATGGGAATCGGGGCTCAATATCACCACACCACCTGTTAGGTGGAGCAAAATCTTTAGAAATATTCACAAAACATCTTGAAACACAGAGACCCAATAGAGTAACTATAAAAGAATAGTTAGATGGTATTATACACCAGAGCCATATTCCCCCAATCCTATGATCAATGTTGGAGATGCCATCACCCCTCAGGGACAGCATCACACATCTGGTGGTCCTGCCCAGAAATACAAACCTACTTGAGGCGCATTTCTAGCCTCATACAGATGATACTGGGGGAAAAACTGACCCCAACCCCAGATTCTTTCATCTTCCTTCTCTCACCACCAAACTTTCCCAAAGAAAAAACTCAACTACTCCTACATTTGATAACAGCGGCAAACCATCCCTAACCATCCCTATATACTGGAAAAAATCTAACTCGCCGCCCATAAGAGATTGGATCCAAAGAGTGGAAACCACTAGGAATATGGAAGTTATTTGCTACTTCCTCTCAGACAGATTCTACTCTTACACATCTATCTGGTCCTGGGGGTGCACGTACCTTCAGCATTCCCTATGAGGGGAGATCCCACACGCATCCTTGGGCAAGACGCAATAGCATGGGCAAGCTAACCGGAAAACTTCCAACATACACTCCATACCATTCTACCAGGGTTATCTTTGTTCTTTGTTTTTGTATTTACTTAAACACATCTTTCACAAACCATACATATAATTGTTATCAACAAATTCTTGTTTTCTATGTATTTGACGCATACAGATAATTGTTACTTCTCAATATTCTATGTATACAAAACAGTGATATCTGTACCATGACTTTATGCAAATAAAAAAAAATATATATATATAAAATAACCCCACAAATAATACATTACCAAAAAGGCCTCATCTGAGGGCCCGACTTGTCAAAATAGCACTCAGATCCATGCAGTATAGAGGAAACGCCACGTGTAAAAGTTCTGACTGGCTGCACACATGGTCCTATGCCCAAAATAGTTCCAGGGCAATTGGCGCCTTAGCCGATCAACTTTCAGGAGCTCCTGCATCCAAAATATGGGGTGCTCTTCCTGGCTCTTAGTTAGCATTTGTTACCCTTAGTCTCAGGCATGTTCCCTCCAAAAAGTTGTTTAAAATCCCAGAACAAGTTGTCCGGGAAGCGCACGGTCACCTCATTCCGTAAACAGTTTCATAACATTTGAGGCTAAGTACCACTGAGATACTGGGGACCCACAAAGTCCTCATGCCGAATTTAGTTCCATAACGATTGCTGTGAAGTACCGCTGAGGGTGTGGGTTTCTTCATGTGAACGGCCGCAAGGGAGCTAGTATTCAGTTCCGTTCAAATTAAGGGAAAGTGCCGAACCAGGTGCACCCAGGGAAAGCTAATAATGGCAGCTGCGGAGGTTAACTCCTGAATGGGGTCTCCGACCTAGACCATAGTTGGTGGGTGTAACGGATCACCTGGCACCCCGACTGGGTACTGCCGTTGAAGGATGCTCCTAGCACTTCCTGAGGACTCCAAGCACTGCAGCAGACACCAAAACCACCGAACCGTAGGAGCATATGAATGCTCTCAAGCATATGAATGTTGTATACAGCTGAATAGGAAAAACCATTCGAATAGGTTTACACTCCTAGCAGTCAAACTGGAACAGCTTACAATAAATCCTCCCCCAATAATGAGACGACACTTCACTTTGAGGGTTAAGCAGGAACTCACTGTACTGGCACATACAGCCTCTTTTATTCCCAATCCACAAACTTAGTACTGCCCACAGGGTTTTACAGAACAACCAATCAATCTGTACAATACACACAGACACTCCCACACAAAATCCTCCCCTCTGCCTGTGATATGATTACTGAACACAATGGTTAATCTAATTATCACAGACAGAGAAATACAGTATCATAAAACACATCACAGGGACCCCAAAACATGCAATAACCCCATTAAAAAAGTATATTATTGGAACCGGGGGATCTGGGTGAACCACATATCCAAAATTCACTCAAATCCGTTCAGTACTTTGGAAGTTACAGTTTAATGCAGATTCCACAGAACATATGCAGGCCAAATGAAAAACAATTACTTTATAATGTGTCCCCTGTTGTATAGTCCAAAACCACTGCACGATGTCTCTGTGCACCAAATACCGGCGAGATGGCACTGTGTTGAAAAGTCCAAACAGTGTCTGTGAGTTAAAATGGCCGCCATCCATTGTTCTCACCATGTGCTTCAACCATTGTTCTCACCATGTGCCTCTAATACAGGAAATGGTGGCCACCCAGTAACTCCACAGTATGTCCCCAGATGGTTCTTAAAGGGCCAGCAGCAGCACAACACAAATCCATCATGCCCAAATCATGGCTTTAAAGGGCAATACATCCCAGGGGCCATAGTCACATGGCAGGAGGCTAGCCATCAGTCTTCTCCAATGCCCAGTGGTGAGGTCGGTTTCGCCACAGTGGGCAGGAGGCCAGCTTCCACACTTCTCCAGGAGTTTGTTACAGATGTCCAAAGAGCGTTTGTCACAATAAGTGCTAAAGTATCAACTGTAAATGAGTATGGCAACAGGCTGCAACTACTAATAGTAAGATATACCCTCAACATGTTACTGTCAAATACAATAGAAACACAGATATAGGTTGTGTCAAGTTGAAAAGTCTAATCAGTTCATTGATGCTTGATAAATTCTTTGCTGGTAACCTTCCAAACTTCAAATAGTGAAAGTATATGGAAAAAAGCAGAAAATAACCGGTGATGGTGCAGTGTTTTCTGGGTGCAGGACACACAACAGATTTATATATTGTACATCACTCACATGTGGGAGAGCTATAGTACCAGCTCTGAGTACAACAGTATGGAGTGGTACAAACCCAATTGAAGAATATGTATTTCTAGGATTTGGTCACTCAATGTATAGGTGGATATATATGAAAAAATATAAAAGGCAAACAATAGTGCCCACTATGATTGATGCAATGATAAGAAGTATAGAGATAAGCGTTATCAACTCACATTTAGTAGAGCAGTGGATCATGTTCAAATATTAATACTTGGGTGGTATAATCCCCACTGGGGTACAGTATTGAGTAGATCCTCAAAGGAGTGGTCCTCTTCAATGTATTTGTATCAAGTAGATATTTCCAATATTATAATGCCAGGATCAATAAAAGATTAAAAAAAACAAAAAACACTGCAATAAACAATGAAATAAATGCAAGAGGAAGGGGGGAGGGGGCAGACATTGAAATATTGTTTGTAACACTATAGGGTTAGAATACACGTTTGTTCTCCTGAACTTATAGTGGTCATTTAATTCATTTTTTTTAGAACATTTCCTCTGTTTACATGTTTTATATTTTTTAATTTTTAAGAGAGTATACTTGTAATTCTAAGAGTCCAATAACATTTGAAGTTGGGTATGACATAACACATATTTAAAAACGTATTTCCAGTCTATGTTACATTAATATAATGTATGTTTTCTTATATTTCCCTATACTATTTCAGACAGTGAGAACTGCATAAAATGCCCAAACAATGAAAGGCCAAACAAGAAGAAGGATCAGTGCATTCAAAAACTGGTGGAATTTCTGTCATACAACGATGATGCAATTGCTGCTGTTTTCTTGTTTGTCTCAGTTTTATTCTTTATTGTAACTATTGGGATTCTAGTTATTTTTTATTTATTCAGAAATCCAGCAATTGTCAAAGCCAATAACAAGAACCTAAGCTTTGTTCTTCTGGTATCCATAATGCAGAGCTTCTTGTGCGTGTTACTGTTCCTTGGTCGTCCTGTAAATATAACCTGCATTATTCGTCAATCCATGTTTACCATATTCTTCTCAATAGCAATCTCTTCTGTTCTAGGGAAGACTATCATGATCTACATTGTTTTCAAAGCCACAAAACCTGGCAGCACATGGAGAAAATGGGTCAATATGAAGATTTCCAATTATGTATTCTTGATTTTCTCATCAGTTCAACTTATAATTAATATTTTTTGGCAGACTCTTTCCCCTCCCTTTCTTGAGCTGGACATGCACTCTTATCAAGATCGAATTGTGATCCAGTGTAATGAAGGCTCAGTTATTGCCTTCTACTCTGTCGTTGGCTACATGGGCCTTTTGGCAGTTATTAGTTTCTTTATAGCTTTTCTAGCCAGGACATTACCGGACAGTTTTAATGAGGCCAAGTACATCACCTTCAGCATGCTGGTATTCTGCAGTGTTTGGATTGCAATGATCCCAGCCTATCTGAGCACCAAAGGGAAATATTTAGTGGCTGTAGAGATTTTTGCCATAGTAACCTCGAGTGCTGGACTATTAGGGTGTATATTTTTTCCAAAATGTTACATCATTCTGTTTAGACCAGAAACTAATACAAAAACAAATTTACTTGATAGAAAAAAATGAAACCATTTTAACCTCTAGACTAATACAGCTAACCCAATATATAAACTATATAATAATATTATATATATATATATATATTTTTTTTTTCATATATTCATATATATATATATATATATATATATTTTATTTGTATTTATTTATAAATATATATTTTACCAGGATGGATACATTGAGAGTTCTCTCGTTTTCAAGTATATTCTGGGTCCACAAAACATTGCATTGATACAACAGGATACAATATTACAAAAATACTATATACAAACTTTATATATATATATATATATATATGTATATATATATATATATATATATAGAAACATATATAAATTTAATACATAACAGGTAATAAATATATTCAACCATGACAAGTGCATTCTGTGCTGAGGTATATTGCCATAGATCTCTTAGATTTTAGATTGAATGAAGATTTGACTGTGCCCCTGAGGTTATTCCATAATTGCTGTGACGAGAGCAATCTCGCCACATTGCATTGGAGAAGCCTGGTTGCTCGCCTGTTGCCTTTGGATTATGGCCCCATGTTAAAAGGCTTGATTTTCCCCTGCAAAGACAAGAAAGCCGGGTCATCTGGTGCTTGCCCTGTTTGACCAGTGATACCCCAGATAGCTATGCCATGGAGCCCATTCGTATAATGAAAGACTATGGGAAAGACTTTGGCTCCATGGCAATTGAACTGTATGTGTGTGCTCTGAGCGCCATTAAGTAATAATGTGGGCTCAGACCTAAGCTATCTGGGCATATGTTGCATGTCTGTATTTTATGTCATAAATGTAACCTTGTGTATTTTATTGTATTTTACTGTCTTTTTGCTGCCATGTGCTCAATGGAGTTTTGCCTCCGTCTTTGGAGATAATTGGATTACTTATAATTATCTCCAGGATAGAAGACTCTGTGGAACTGGTTTTGGGCAGAAAAGCCATGCTTCCTGTGGTCACAAAAGACTACGATCTATCTTTTGAACCACTGGACCAATTTGTATGATTTTGACGTATGTTTGTATTTGGAGTATGATTCTGAAAATGTAAGTTTTATGTGAATATGATGCATACTTTTCAAGTTATGAATAATGTGGAAAAATTTTATTTTTCTGCTTGTGCTAAATTACATTACCCATTGTGTAAGGTAATTGAATCACAAGCACAGGGGAGGGATTTGTGTGGGAGTGTCTGAGTGTATTGTATGTGTTTATTGGTTGTGTTCCAAAACCCTGTGGGTGGTACTAATGTGTAAGAATGTGTACATAAGCCCAATAAACACACAGCTCTGTAGGTTCACTGCTTGACCCTCAACACAGAGCTTTGTCTCGTTCTTGGGGGGATTTATTGTATGCTGTTCCAGTTCGACTGCTAGGATTGTAAACCTATTCGTATGGTTTTTCCTATTCGGCTGTTTACAGCATTCAAATGGTTTCCTGTTCGGCGGATTGGTGCTCTGCAGTAGCTGTGCCTGCATCTCTGGAAGGGAAGATCTACTAAACGGTGGTTTAACCTTTTTATGCCTGGGGGTGCCATTACAATTGCGGTGCTCTGTAGGAGAAGGAAGATCGAGCCACTTTATTTTTGTATTGCGGCATGCTAATTATCATGTTAGTACTGGATTGGAGGTTATAGGAGGTAGGAACAGCCGGGGAGAACATTCTACTCAGGTAGGGTGGGAGCTTCCCAGAAGTGCTCTTATGCTCAAGGTTGGAAAGATGAAGAGTGTGTCGGGATTCCAGCGATAAGCCTCTTTTAACGTGTCACAGTGGTGGGTAATAACATTTTAGTATAAAGCGGCAGAACAAATTATTTACAGTTGCAAGAAAAAGTATGTGAACCCTTTGGAATGATATGGATTTCTGCACAAATTGGTCATAAAATGTGATCTGATAATCATCTAAGTCACAACAATAGACAATCACAGCCTGCTTAAACTAATAACACACAAAGAATGAAATGTTGCCATGTTTTATTGAACACACCATGTAAACATTCACAGTGCAGGTGGGAAAAGTATGTGAACTCCTAGACTAATGACATCTCCAAGAGCTAATTGGAGTGAGATGTCAGCCAACTGGAGTCCAATCAATGAGATGAGATTGGAGGTTTTGGTTACAGCTGCCCTGCCCTATAAAAAACACACATCAGTTCTGGGTTTGCTTTTCACAAGAAGCATTGCCTGATGTGAATGATGCCTTGCGCAAAAGAGCTCTTAGAAAACCTACGATTAAGAATTGTTGACTTGCATAAAGCTGGAAAGGGTTATAAAAGTAACTCCAGAAGCATGCTGTTCATCAGACCACGGTAAGACAAATTGTCTACAAATAGAGAAAGTTCAGCATTGCTGCTACTCTCCCTGGGAGTGGCCGTCCTGTAAAGATGGCTGCAAGAGCACAGCGCAGACTGCTCAATGAGGTGAAGAAGAATCTTAGAGTGTCAGCTAAAGACTTACAAAAGTCACTGGCAAATGCTAACATCCCTGTTAGCGAATCTACAATATGTAAAACACTAAACAAGAATGGATTTCATGGGAGGATACCATAGAGGAAGCCACTGCTGTCCAAACAAAACATTGCTGCACGTTTACAGTTTGCACAAGAGCACCTGGATGTTCCACAGAAGTACTGGCAAAATATTCTGTGGACAGATGAAACCAAAGTTGAGTTGTTTGGAAGAAACACACAACACTATGTGTGGCGAAAAAAGGCACAGCACACCAACATCAAAACCTCATCCCAACTGTGAAGTATGGTGGTGGGGGCATCATGGTTTGGGGCTGCTTTGCTGCATCAGGGCCTGGATGGATTGCTATCATCGAAGGAAAAATGAATTCCCAAATTTATCAAGACATTTTGCAGGAGAACTTAAGGCCACCTGTCTATCAGCTGAAACTCAACAGAAGATGGGTGTTGCAACAGGAAAATGACCTAAAGCATAGAAGTAAATCAACAGCAGAATGGCTTAAACAGAAAAAATTACGCCTTCTGAAGTGGCCCAGTCAAAGTCCTGACCTCAACCCGACTGAGATGCTGTGGCATGACCTCAAGAAAGCGATTCACACCAGACATCCCAAGAATATTGCTGAACTGAAACAGTTCTGTAAAGAGGAATGGTCAAGAATTACTCCTGATCGTTGTGCACATCTGATCTGCAACTACAGGAAGCGTTTGGTTGAAGTTATTGCTGCCAAAGGAGGTTCAACCAGTTATTAAATCCAAGGGTTCACATAACTTTTCCCACCTGCACTGTGAATGTTTACATGGTGTGTTCAATAAAAACATGGCAACATTTCATTCTTTGTGTATTATTAGTTTAAGCAGACTGTGATTGTCTATTGTTGTGACTTAGATGATGATCAGATCTCATTTTGTGACCAATTTGTGCAGAAACCCATATCATTCCAAAGGGTTCACATTCTTTTTCTTGCAACTGTAACAAATTAAGTTTATTAAGGTGGGTTTACGGTGCGGATGCATACGACTACATCCCCATAATCAATGACCGGCATTAGCATTTGTTGCATCTGTCTCCTTACTGTATGGCTTAGGCAGGATTTGTTTCTGTACAGGGCACCTTGTTTTGGGTAAAGTTTTAAAGAGACGTTTTCGATATGAAGGCCAAAAGATAGATTGTGGTATAGCAACATACATAGATGTGATGAGAGCAATCTTGCCACATTGCATTGGAGAAGCCTGCTTGCTCGCCTGCTGCCTTTGGATTATGGCCCCATATTAAAAGACCTCTTTCCCCCTGCAGAAAAGACTTATTCGTGATTTTCTGCCCGGTGTTCGGTAGATTCAATCTACCGAACAACTGCACGAATAACTAGACCACCTGGGAGCTGGAGTGTGACGGCAATTAGCCTCCCAGAAGCTGTGGTTAACCGCAGCTTAATTGACGAATACTGGGTGGCCACCATTCGTATACCGAACACGAGGTTGCTGCTATTTTAAACACGCGAACGCACAGTGGTGTTCGACGCCTAACTCATGGAACTAAAAACGGACACAGTTTGGCGCGAACACCGCTGAAGCCGCCGACCTCCCTTCTTGTTCGGTGGAAGTGCACGAACGGCCCTGTATTCGGTAGCCGCACCTGACTGCACTATACCCCAGATAGGAATCCTATGGAGCTCATTCGTATGAGAACTGACTTTGTGAAGACTTTGGCTCCATGGCGATTAAACTGTATTTGTGTGGTCTGAGCGCCTTTCGCTTAATAATGTGCGCTCAGACCTGAGCTATCTGGGGATATGTTAAATGTATAGTTTTATTGTAACTGGTGTCACATAGTGTATTTTAACAGTAATTCTTATTTTAGTATCCCCACGTGCATAATGGCGATTTGCCTTTGTCCTGGGAGATAATTGAATTACTTCTCAATTATCTCCAGGGCAGAGGGGAGGAAGCCAGGATGTATTGTGGGAATATAATGTCACTGTGTGTCCTATTTTGCTGATTGTCTGTCTTTTGTCACAGTCTCCCATTTGGTCCCCTAGGGGAATGTCCACCAGGTGGGAGACCTGCATAAATATCGGGCAGGTAGCCCTCATTAAACAGACCACTGCTTGACTCTCAACACGGAGCCTTGTCTCGTCTTTGGGGGGATTTACTGAATGCTGATAGAGACTGATTGCTAGGAGTGTAATCCGCTTGGGTGCTTTTCCTATTCATCTGCTAGCAGCTATTCGTATGGTTCCAGTTAGTGAGTTTGGAGTGCTATATTGTATGCCGTTCGGGAGTTTGGAGCATTCCCTTACATGCGGTTCGGGAGTTTGGTGTTCTACAGTAGCTGTGCCTGCATCTC